GCCAGAGAGAGAGAGAACGAGAAAGGGAACGGGAACGTGACAAGGAGCGGCAGCGGAGGAAAGAAGAGTGGGAACGCGAGAGAGAACGAGTGAAGAGAGATGAAAAAGACAGGCTGCACAGGGACCGGGACAGAGATCGAGACCGCGACAGAGAAAGGGAACGTGAAAAGGAGAAAGAAAAACCAAAGCCCCGGTCACCCCTGCTACCAAGGTAAGTCTTTGCTTGAATTCAAATTTGAGATTTGATTTGATGTTGTTTTAGCTGTAGATGATGACCCAGGCTCACGCTAGTGAGAGTGGGGGCCCCTATAGTCGGTAACTCTCCAGTAGAGCAGTAGTTTCAAAAGAAGACACTTCAAGTTAGCCGTGCTGGCCACTAAGTGGAGCTAAAACGCCATATAAGAGCAGAGCATATTTGTAACCTGACTGAAAGGAGGAGAGTGCCTGTCCTGTGGCTTGTAGATATGGAGATGTTCAGCTTGTCCTCCGTTCCCTTGAATTTAGAGTGCGTCTTGGAAGGCTGACGGAGTCCCCAGTGCTGAGAGAGTGCTGGAGTTAGTCCTGCAAATGATGGTGGCTCCCTCTGTGACCTTGACAAATGTCACTTGACAAGAGTGAGGGCTGGCGTGAGAGTTTGTGGGATTTTATTAAATAAGAAGGAAAAAATAGAGGCTAGAAAAAGTAAAAAGATTTTATGCCTTGAAATGAGTCTGCTAGGAATTAGGGTCGAATTTTAGTGTGGAGTCAGATTTCTCTTCCCTGACTGCCAGACTTTCTTCAGTTTTTCTGGAGATTCTGGTTCTGACCCATATGAAAGAGAAAACTGGACGAGATAGACTAAAAGTCTGGGAATTTCCAAAGTGGAGCACGTATTCTGTTTCTTTGTCAATTACTTATGTACAGTAACTCATCAGTGTATTATATGTTAGGCTTATATATAATGCATTATGTAAATATCAGAGCTGAATATAGAACTTGTCTTATGGGAAGTTCTAACATTGCAACATCTTTTGGTTCAGAATCAGGAGAAAAGTATCCAAATTTCCTGTTTTTTCTGCTGAAAGACATCTCCAGGAAAACTGATCAGCCATGCCAGTATCTTGGAAACTAATGGCAGATGCAGTCTCCCAAAGGAGCGCTGAGGAAAGCGTGGGCACGCAAATGTGTGTGTTGGGGAGGGAGGGCGGTAGTGAAGCTGCATTTCCCAAGACGTATTGGAGCTTCTCCTGGCTGAATATCTGTTTTGCTCCTCAAACGCTGGAGGAGACTGAAACATCATGAGCGTGGGGGAAGAGTGTGCCTTAATGAAGAACAGGGCTAAGAAGGCCCAGAACTAGATGCCACAGAGAATTGTGTGGTTTCAGGTGGAAGCAGGGATTAGTCTTGAATATGGGCCAGAATTTTTGTTTGTATTACTAGATGGAAAACTGAATTTTGACAGTGACTCTTTTTTTCCGAAAGGAAGTGTCAATTTCAGAATGATTTGGCTCTGCCTTATGACAGTTTTGGTGCAGCAGCAGCATTGATGTGGTTATAGTAATACAGAGAGCTACATTTAATTAAGATATTGACTTGCAACCATAATTTGTGCAGCTGAATTACCACATTTGCTGCTGGTTTGTGCTCTTGTTAGCTTAGTGATGGAAGAGATCTTACTGTCCAGTATCATATGATGATGATGAAAGTAGCATGAGCTGATTGGCACTTCTAGGAGTTAGTCATGAGGAGTCACCATGACCATGCTCACTGCACGCAAGATAGACGCTGCTGGTTGCTCCTTCCTTTTGTGCTTGTGCTGGGTCGTGGGTAGGGCTTTGTGGAAAAGCTTCCACTGGTACTGTTGCCCGAAGTGTGCTGAGCGGGAGCAGTTGCCATATTCGCCAGTCTTAAATCCATCTCACCTCTTATATCCGTTTGTCAGGCAGCAGTGCTGCCTGAGCTGAGAGATGAGGTGTAGAGAGGTTTTTTTCGATGTGGTTGTTCATGACCGTATATGCTCTGTGACTATAGGTTCCCGTTTCCCTCTCATGCCCCTTCCCTTATGTTAGCAACACTTAAGGGGAGCTGCAGACTGCCTCTTTTACCTCCCAAACAGGCTTCTTAAGTCTTGGTAAACTAAAAATAGTGTTTGATACGCTTTGCTTATTTGTTTCAATATGTACTATTCTTTCTAGAAGCGAGTAGTAGAGAATCTATTCCTGGCAATGTCTTGAGCCTGATCTTGTAATGGGAGAACTGATGACCGCGGGGCCAGGGGGAGGGAGAGCAAGCCGGACCTTCTTTTGACTTCATTTGCATTAAAGGCTTTTTTCTTTTTTAAGCCCAAATTCTCCAAAACCTGAGGACAGCACCTACACACGGTCCCTCTCCTTAGAGGAGAGGGGGAATTAATGGGAATACTTACCAATAAAGCCAGAAGTCCTACTTTAAGACAGTACTCCAGGTACTCTTAGTTGGACTTAAATTCTCACTGTTGAAAATCCACGTCAAAATGAACGCTGCTACTACAGCATCTGCGCGCGTACGTATGTTTTCAGAGGAAATAAAACTGCGGAATTAAAAGGCTTTAAACAAGTGAAAATATAATTCAGTAAGAAACATGATTTCTTTTCCCTTGGAAAAGACATCCCCTCATCCAGCTTGTGTTTCCATACCTTGTCCTCACCAAAGCCTCCGTCACCGTCTCTGGACGATGCTGTTTCGTCCCACGTGATGCTTTGTCAGACTTGCCCGGGCGCCAGTGGCGGTGCCAGAGGTAGAGCCGTCTCCCCTTTTCTCCAAAACCCTGTGCGCTGGGCGGGCTGCAGAGCCACGCGCTCTCTTTTGGCATCTTGATATTCTGGGGATTCAGCTGTTTCCCAGGCTTGCTCAATGAGTAAAGTCATTGCAATCGTTCCGTGTTTCCCTGATAGCAGCACGCGCGTTAGTGGAGTAGTGCTCACCTATTAGGCTATTTATAGACTTCGTGCTTTCCCTAATTGCTAGATCCCGGCTTTTGGCAAGGGCAGCCTTTCCGGGTGCTGGTGGCTGGCGCTGCGTCACGGGCCGGGCCGGGGAGGTGGCGGCGCGGGCTCGCGCCAGCCGCCCGTTAGCATTCCTCCAAGCACGCCAGCGGCAGCGCCTCCTGGGACGTTTCCCGCTGGAGCCCTGCTCTTCACTTACTCATGAGCTGAACAGATTTGAAAACTGTTCCCCAGAGATTATGCAACCGTTGAGGAACGTTGCCAACGGCAGGCTGAGGACAGCTGTAGTTGCACATGGGTGCCCGTCTGGCCGTTAAGGTTTCCTCCAGTAAAGGCAAGAGAAAGGAGCAAACTGTCACAAACAGAAGGTTAAGTTGCAAGGGGCAAAAGACTTGGAAAGCAAATAGCTGGGAACGCGAAAGCAAATTCCCTTTCAATTATGTTGAAGCAGGAATCTTTAATCTGGTCTCTAAAGGGCAACAGAGTGGTTAAGGCTAGTAAGAGAAGAGAATGACTTCCCTTGCCTCAATGCTTGTCAGAGATGAGGAGAATTATAACTTAACAACGAACAAACGTTGTAAACCCGAACAGACCCAGCGGTAAACATGTCTCCTTGAAACTTTTCAAAGAAGCAGCAGCTGTGTTTGGGGTCTTTTTTAAGTATCTGAATGAGACCTTTTTTTGAAGGAACATGCAATTCTTGCTTTATACACTGTTTTTTTTCTCAAGCTTAAGATGAGCAGTTAAAGAAGTGTGTAATCTGAGATTGCAGTGCTAGTAAAACTGTTCCTTCTCCTCCTCCTCCTCCCTCCTCAGGCATCAAACCCTTGAACAAGCCAGGACGCTTTATGATCAGTTAGAGGGATAACTTGGCTGTCTGGCCCCGTGTTGCTGTCTCCAGAACGAGTTCTGATGCCCCAGGCTGTGACTGTTTTTGCTGAGTGCACAATTTCTGCTCTATATAGCCATATCTCGTCAGCGTCGTCTACTGTTGTGCAAAGCACTTCAGGGATAAAGAAACTGCATGAAACACTATTTCAGGAGAATTACAGCAGTGTGAGATGTTCCAACCTGAGCACTCGATACAGCCATAAAGGTGCTGGCCCTCAGCTATGAGCAAGGGCCCAGCACACAAAAATAGTAACTTGCATGAATCCTCCTGTTGTTGCGTAGCTCCATACCCTGTCATCACCCAAGTGAATCTGATTGTTTCAGTAGTGCATTAAGTAACACAGTTTGTGTTATGTGACCTGTTAGTATTTGTATTTCCAAAGCACCGAGGGACTTTGGAGGGACATCAGTATGAAGTAAGACCCATTGGCTATGGCGGGAGCTTCAGTACCCCTGCCCTGCTGGCTGGGGTGGTGCTAGGCGCTGTTGATCCAGCAGGGAGGGAGAGGAAGCAGTGAGACAGTGGGCTACAGACCATCCGTGGAGTGCACTTATGCAGCCATTTAAAAAAAGAGAGAGAAAGGAGGGAAAAAAAAAACTTGCAAGTAGGGATGTCTTAAAATTCAAAGTAATATCAGAAGAGGCAGCCATTTTGTAGCAAATGATGGACTCCTTCATAAAATCCTCCTAGAAAGGAGTGCTGTGGTTCTTCCAAGCTCATGCTGAGGTTAAAGTAGCCCTTGATTGAGAGATGCTACGTGTGACTGCAGCTCCTGTGACGAAAGGTTAGATAGATCCTCCTCAGAGCTCGCTCTTGCATTACTTTTTCAAGCTAGTTGCCTTTAAATAAGGCTTTGTTAGTCTCTGGGATGAGCATGTTAATGAACAGGATAACTTGGCATTTGAAGTCAATGAATGCAGGTTAGCCAGGGTTTGCAAGTTAGAAAGTGTTGGAATGGGGATGATCTGGGAAAGGAGTGGCAAAAATAAGGCAATGCAAATGGAGTGATTCATGACTGTGTGTGTCTGTGTATATGTGATCACAAACTGACTGGACTTGTTTTTTGGAAGAATTTGTAATTCTAAATGTTCGTGGTCACCATCCCCTTTCCTAATAGCTTCTGGTGACCCCCCCGTGCCACTGTCCATGTCTGTTCCGACTTTTTTTGAGTTCTGTTTGCGGGGGCTCTGTATGAAAGCAGCTGTTGGGCAAACAGAGGTAGATATTCTGGTGGGCTTAAAATAGCGTTTCATCCTCCTGTGTAGAGACGGTGCAGATTTTGTCTCCTTTCAGTGTGCCCCGTGGAAGCGTTGGCTATTTCTTATAAGAAGCCTTCGTTTCCTGCTATTTGTTATC